ATAAACATATTAAGTTAGAACAGAGAAGAAAGATGGAGGACTCATCTACTACATCATTGTCGACTTCATGGTGTTTTTCAGTCCTAACTACATAAGCTATATATCTCGATGATTACTTACTTACTTACTTACACCTGTTACTCCTCGTGAAGGAGCATAGGTCGCTCACCAGCATTCTCCATCCAACCCTGTCCTGGGCAATCCTTTCCAGCTCCTTCCAGTTGTAATTCATCCTTTTCATATCTGCTTCTATTATCCGACGTAATGTGTTCTTTGGCCTTCCTCTTTTCCGCTTCCCTTCAGGATTCCAAGTTAGAGCTTACCTCGTGATGCAGTTTGGCGATTTGCGTAATGTATGTCCTATCCATTTCCATCGTCTTTTCCTAATTTCCTCTTCAGCTGGAAGTTGGTTTGTTCTCTCCCGCAGAAGGCTATTGCTGATGGTATCCGGCCAATGGATGTTGAGTATCTTGCGTAGACAGCTATTTATAAATACTTGTACTTTCTTGATTGTGGTTGTTGTAGTTCTCCAAGTTTCAGCTCCATACAGTAGAATTGCCTTGACGTTCGTATTGAAGATTCTTACTTTGATATTGGTTGAAAGTTGTTTTGAGTTCCATATGTTCTTCAATTGTAGGAATGTGGCCCTTGCTTTGCCAATCCTCGCCTTTACGTCTGCATCTGAACCTCCTTGTCTATCGACGATGCTTCCCAGATATGTGAAGGATTCTACATCTTCCAGAGTTTCGCCATCAAGGGTGATTGGATTGCTGTTCTCCGCTTTGAATTTGAGGACCTTGGTTTTCCCTTTGTGTATACTGAGGCCTACTGATGCAGAGACTGCTGCTACATTGGCTGTCTTTATCTGAATCTGTTCACGTGTACGTGATAGGAGGGCTAGGTCATCTGCGAAGTCCAGATCGTCTAATTGGTTCTGAGCTGTCCATTGTATTCCGTGTTTTCCTTCAGATGTCGAGGTCTTCATAATCCAGTCGACCACCAGAAGAAAGAGGAAGGGAGAGAGTAAACAGCCTTGTCTGACTCCGGTCCTTACTTGGAATGCATCTGTCAGCTGTCCTCCATGCACTACTTTGCACTGTAGTCCGTCGTATGAGTTCCGGATAATATTGACAATCTTCTCAGGAACTCCGTAGTGTCGAAGAAGTTTCCATAATGTCCTCCTATCTACACTGTCGAATGCCTTTTCATAATCAATGAGGTTGATGTATAGTGACGAGTTCCACTCAACTGATTGTTCGACGATGATCCGTAGTGTTGCAATTTGGTCTGTGCACGACCGATCCTTACGGAATCCAGCTTGTTGATCTCGAAGTTGGGCGTCTACTGCATCCTTCATCCAGTTCAGCAACACTCTGTTGAAGACTTTCCCTGGTATTGACAGTAGTGTAATGCCTTTGTAGTTTTCACATTTGCTCAGATCTCCTTTCTTTGGAATCTTGATGAGGTGTCCTTCTTTCCAGTCCATTGGCACTTGTTCCTCCTCCCAAATCTTTTTGAATAGAGGGTAAAGCATGCTTGTGGTTACTTCGACGTCTGATTTCAGTGCTTCAGCTGGTATGTTGTCGGGCCCTGCTGCTTTCCCGTTCTTGATTTGTCTGACGGCCATTCTAATTTCTTCCGTCGTTGGTGGGTTGACATCTATAGGAAGATCTGTGTGTGCTGCTTCGATGTTCGGTGGATTCATTGGAGCCGGCCTATTCAGGAGTTCCTCGAAGTATTCTACCCATCTGTTTCGCTGTTGTTGAATTTCAGTGATTGGCTTGCCTTCTTTGTCTTTGACAGGCCTCTCTGGTTTACTGTATTTCCCTGATAGTTTCTTCGTTGTATCGTAAAGCTGTTTCATATTTCCTCTAGCAGCTTTTTTTGCCGTCGTTGCTAATTCTTCCACGTATTTCTTCCTGTCGGCTCTAATGCTCCTCTTCACTTGCTTGTTTGCTTCTATGTATTCAGCTTGTGCTTGGACTTTCTCTGCTCGTGTTCGGCTGTTGTTAATTGCTGTCTTCTTGTTCTTCCTTTCTTTGATCTTGTCCAGTGTTTCTATAGAGATCCATTCCTTATGATGGTGTTTCTTTAGGCCCAGAACCTCTTGACACGTTGAAGTCAATGTTTCTTTGATGCCTTTCCAGTTGTCCTCCATGGTAGTTTCTTCTTCCTTCAGTAGATCTTGTAAGGCTTGGAACCTGTTGTTGAGAGCTATCTTGAATTCATTGAGTTTGTCAGTATCTCGAAGGAAGGCTGTATTGAACCTTTGTAGTGCTGTTTGTCCACTTGTCCAGTACTTTTTTAGCTTCAGTTTTAAATTGGCTACAACTAGGTGGTGATCTGAAGCTACGTCAGCTCCTCTCCTGGTTCCCACATCTTCCATTGTCCTTCGGAATTTTTTGTTGATGCAAATATGGTCTATCTGGTTCTCTGTAGTGTGGTCCGGTGAGATCCATGTAGCCTTGTGTATACGTTTGTGTGGAAATATTGTGCCTCCTATGACTAATTTGTTGAATGCACACAAATTTGCAAATCTTTCTCCATTTTCGTTCCTCTCTCCCAGTCCATGTCGTCCCATAATATCTTCATATCCAGTGTTGTCTATTCCGACTTTGGCATTTAGATCTCCCATCAGAATGGTGAGGTCCTTTCTTGAGCATTTCTCTATGATTGACTGCAGCCGCTCGTAGAATTGATCTTTAATGTCGTCGTTGCTATCATTGGTGGGTGCATAACATTGGATAATATTCATTAAGATCCCCTCCTTCTTTGTTTTGAATGATGCTTTGATGATTCTGGATCCGTGGGATTCCCATCCTACAAGTGCAGTTCGTGCTACTTTGGACAGCATTAGAGCAACTCCCTGAGTGTGTGGAGCATTTTCCTCTTCGTGACCGGAGTATAGCAGCATCTCTCCCGTAGCTAGCCTTTTCTGTCCAGCTTGGGTCCAGTGGGTTTCGCTGATTCCCAGTACTGCCAAGTTGTATCTCCTCATTTCCGTTGCTATTTGGCTGGTCTTCCCGGTTTCCCACATTGTTCGAACGTTCCATGTACCTATAAAAATTTTTGCTCTGGTTGTTAGAAGGGGCATCGGCCTCGTGGCTTCCGAAGGAATTCGGCTTTCACCATGAAGCGTCATAATTCTTCTAAATGAAGACCTTCTAACTCTCAGGGCAGAGTTAAAATGGTTTGAATTATTTTTCCTGGTAAGCGTTTTTTTAGCGAGTTAGTTTTCTACGGGATGGGGACGCTAACCCCATGACCAACCCTCCTCCTTTACCCGGGCTTGGGACCGGCAGTAACTCTAGAAGAGCTACAGGCGGAGTTATATCTTGATGATTGCTTCAAATCAATTTCAGTTTCAACGCAGATTACAAATTATTATCACCTAACTCATTTGTTTATACTATGTATTGATTCCTATGTATTTTATTCCTTTCTGAACTTCTATTGGGACGAAAATTGCACTTTGATATATACAGCTAGTGAATGTCAGTGACCTAATTTGTTTTATCTTCACTATGTATATTTCATTTTGGCAGACTCATCATTCACGAGCTATCTTTAAGTCATGGAGTTATCTTTAAACTATTAATAGTCACATAACTTTGTCTGAATTTGTCTGGATTTATACATTGGAAACAATTAGATGAAATTCATATTTTTGATAATTGTATTGGATTTCGGAAGCACAATTACGGGTTCTCTGAAAGAGGAAGTCGGTTAATCGATTGAATCAGTTTAGGTGGATTTGGCTATAAATTTCATTTGGAATGAAGTATGCACTGTTAAATATAATCTATATAGGATACATTTTTGAATGTAACTGGTTTACCTCCCAGAATCTTTTAATGTATGGACAATGGTATCATTATTATTTATAAAAATAGCCGTTTCAAGTGCAAAACTTCACAACAGCTTTTATCGGTGGATTCTAACTAAGGGGAACTCAGTATCTTAGTAATACGACACCTGAACTATCCAGATCACTGCTAGGTCTACTGTTAGAACTAAATTGATTATTCTACATGATTACTGGTAAACATACAGTATCCCATCGTTGATTACTTGGTGTTAATCGAGTCCAATAGATCCGTTTTTAGTGTTACCTAGTTGTCTAAGTCACCAATCAGCTGCGCTATATGGGCTGGAGACTGATTTTATGTTGGAGTAATAAACGGAAAATTAGTCCTAACTTTTATTTAAAACTATATGTATGCTCTAACTTACTTTCTCACAGACTGGCCTTAGGACTGGATGACTCATTTAAAGCCATCCATCCAATACATCTCCCCATCCAATTTCCAAATCTCAATTCTCAACGCCCACGCTATCTCAACTTTCTTGCTGTCTAAGTTTCATGAACAGTTTTTGTGACCTTGATCTTGTTTCAACAGGTTTACAATCTATTTAACTGATCTGTACTGGTTAGTTCTTAATTCATGATCCATTTTCGTTTCATTCCTAGCGCAACAAAAACGGCCATTCAAGTACGGTTTAAATTCACTTGGTCTAGAATTTAGAATCTATCATCTTATCACGGATCTAGTAGCTTAGCTAATTGTGATTTAGCCGCACACATTTTGATCTTAAAGACTCCATGTTAGTGTATGATTGAGTCATCTTATTGATTATAAGATAGTTTAACTGGCTGGTATGATATTATGCTTTGTTTGTTACTTTCGCCTGTGGTCAAGCATTAAGGTAGGGATAGCATTGCAGTTTATTCATCTAAGTTCTTAACAGTTATTCTATGGAGTTGTGCTTGGTTTATCTCCATTTCCCGACAGCTTATTTCTAGTCATGACTTCATGACCGCCTAGCACGTGAACTTGTATTTTGTTACTGAATTCCAATTACTTCTATAATGCTTTCTGAAATCGGTTAACATGTTTCGGGCATGTTTTTTCTCTCTGGATACAATTATCGATAGTTTTCAATTAACTTAATCCATTTATATTTCTATATTCATTTTACTCCTCCTTCTCCCCCCGTAGCATTAATCAACTGGATTGTTCGATTACTCCCATATTTCCTATTGTTCGTCTTTATCTCATTGATTCTTCAACTGGTTTGGCTATGGAGACGAAAATCTGAAGTTATTACATATAAGTTGATAAGTATTGGACGTTCTATAGAGTACTATGAGTTTACTGCAGGTGATGCACAAGTATCAAATAACAATAATTCGGATAATAATTCATTTGAAAATACTACAAGTTTAATGTTAGACCCGATTAATAAACCTGTGATTAATATAAAGACTATTGTCACCCGTCGTCCACCGAAATTTATAAATAAAATTAAAGAACGATGTACTACTAATCGTTATGTAACTTCAAGTCAACAACAATTTTATAATAGGTTCACACATGAAGAAGATATACAACGTTTAAAAGAATTAGATAAACTATTCTTATCCAATTATCAACTCGAAAAAGATGAACATTATGAGTTCTCACGTAAAAATCTTCAATTAACATGTCGATTAGGTTCAGGTGCTTTTGGTATTGTTTATAGAGGTGTTGCAGAAAATCTACCAAATTGTGTTAACCCTAATGAGAAAATTGATGTTGCTGTTAAAACTTTAAAAGGTTTGTGTTTATTTTTATTTTGTTAAAAATGTTCCCGTGTTTTCTTTCTACTATTGAGGTTGAAAGCGAATCTGGACTACAACTGTGACATATACCATCGATAAAGTCATTCCACCAACGACGGCGATACCACATGGTCTAATTGATATATATTTTAATTAATAACTCAGATAAATGAAAATTATTACACGGCTAACTAATTGTTAGGTTTGTAGGGGATTTGTTTAACGGACTGATGTCGGTTAGAGTTACTATTGAAAAATAGTGTACACTGGTTTTCCGCCTGATACTAATGAAATACGCACCGATGACCCGTACCAGAGTTAGAGTGATTTTTATCCGTTAGTAAACTTTTAGTGATGTTTTTTTCTATATCATCTTCATTGAAACCTTCATCAATTTAGTTTGCTGACCAATTACAATCAAGAGAGTTGTATGACAACTAAAATGTCGATGGATAAATGGAATTTTATAGTTAATGGTTGATAATTTTTTATTTGTTAGACCATCGTTTAAAAGTATCTAGGTATGAAAAGTCGAAGTAATTTCATCTATCAGCATTGAAAAATTCAATTAAATCACTTAAACCTCACTATTACAAAATAGAATATCACGAAAGTAAATTAACTGGAATAATTACCAGTGTAATTCAAAATGTATTTACCCTGTTTAATACATATCAAATAAAAATACCTACATTTCCCTCTTACTATCATTCATTACAACATGTACTCATCACCAATCACTTTATTTATCAGGATTAAGCGTAATCCCATCATTTGTCCAATACTTCTCAGTCTTTAGAATAACATGTAAGCATAAATATGTACATTTTTCACAGTCTACAAATTCGGGCCGAGTGCAGTAACTTCTAATTTTAAAAGTTACCCATTCTCTTTCAAACCGTTTGTTATATCTTAACGAAGAATAAACGAATGGTAACGACTAGTAATTATTTATGGATTGTTATTACATATATTCCTATTGGATAACTATCAAGCATAACTATATTATGTATATTCATATTCCTTTTATTATAAGCTTTAATTTGACCTATCGACTATTATACGATTCATTATTCTTAATTTATCCTCAATCTATTAGTTATTATCATTATTATTATTATTAATATTATTATTATTAATGGCTTTATTCATAATATTTTTGGTAAAATGTAGAATCCTCAACACAAAGTATCTCAACAAGTTTCCTTTTCTTATTTCTTGATCGATTCTGGTGATTATTATTGAGTGATCGCCAGTTATATATAAGCAGTTTCAGGAATCAACATCTGAATAATGTTCATTCTTTTTAATTCAGATTACCGACAACCACGACGTCGCTGATTGTACTTTCTTATAAATTGTACAGCGAAAGGTCGTAAACTTTCAACAGACGGGCCTGAGTAGGCTATGCGAATAGTGGACATAATGATGTGTGAAAACGAACAGAAACAAATAACTTGTTGAAACATCTAAATAGTAAGAACAGGTAGCCCAGATATTCAAGCAAGCCACCTACCTCACAATCATACCCACTTTTGACTTGATCTTGTATGACTGTTACTTTTTATTTTATGGCGTGTTTAGGTCTTATTTGCTTGTATATGAATTGCGTATGTCTGAAATGCATGATTCATACGGTGGGAGCTGAAGTTTGTGTTCTGGACTCGAACAGATAGGGCTGGGCGAGAAGGGACACAATAAGGACTCAAAGTTGACCTGAGGCTGCTCATATTGCCTAACGCGTCATTATTTTGGCATAGTGCTACGGTAAAAAAAATCACGGTGTTCTAATTAGTGAAATTATCATGTGGTAATAAACAGGCCAAGAGACAACACAATTTATGAGCGCTTTCGCCTTTATATTTGTTTCATTCTGGATTTGTTTTATTTTGAGTTCCTGATACTATAAAACCAATGTACCACCGCATTTGAATCTATGTCTAGATTCGTCATTGATGCTTTAACAAGATTAGAAATAATGGATTGTAAAGTTATATACTAAAGATTCTATGTTCAGAGATATTGAAAGTGTTTCCGATGTACAACACTATAGTCCTATTAAGATTGATTAAAATTACCATGAAATATGTAATTTCAGTAAATCACCTTCAATTTCTACAATTATCCTCTTAAAATATACAATTATTTAAATGCTTTGTAATTTGTTTTACTACATATAGATGATTTCACAGAAGAACATGTGTCTGAATTCTTGATGGAAGTGAATATTATGAAACAGTTGCGTCATAAGCATATCATTGAATTTTATGGAGTTTGTACGGAAAATGGTTAGTCTATATTCTATACGCTCTTCATAATATCAATACTACCTTTTTGTATTACTGAATGTTTCCGTCATTCCATTGATCGTCCGATTGGATGATGACGTTGTTCTAATCGGTTATAAAATTCATCAGCATGTATGTGGATTGAGTAAAAAAGTAGGATAGTTAGAATGTTCATTACATTTAAACTAATTAGTAATGTTAATGCTCTCCAGTATATTCTATTTTTACAGTTGGACCAAGACACGGGTTACATTGGTGTTTTCTAGTAGCTGGATTGTGCAAAAACTGATCACACTGATAATATGGATGAAAAGATATGATGTCCTCACAAAAAGAATACTGACTTCGAACTGCACGTGATAAAATCCTACTTTTCAGCAAATCGATTGACTAAGCTAGCCTTTGTTGACTCATTTTTGTTCTCCCGAAAATGACCATCCGATATTGTCGAGCCTCTTTATGTGTGACACTGAGAATGCTATTCATGCCCTATATATATACAGTCTAGTGAAACACGGCATACAGACCAAATCGATTAGTGTGAGAAAATGTAGCTGCTTTAGTATTCATATGCTATCCAATCATATCCAAAATGTATTTTGTTTAGTAAAAGCTGTTTTTCCACCTTGCCCACAAATTGTATCTCTCTTGCTAAGCTCATTTAGTCAGAGCTTTTGGTTCAATATTCATTTTATTAAAGCTGCCGAATTTATAGTTACAACAAATCCTGCCACATTTCAGTGACTTCAAACATACCGAATACACGATGCTGTTATTGTCTATAAGACATCAGGAACCGGCAATAAATTTATCAGTCTTGACTATCACAACCTAAGGTAACATGAATAAATTACACCTAAATTCTATTAGGAAATTACTGCGTGACTAGCATGAGAAGCAACCACTACTTTGGGACGGATCATCCCAAAGTTTGTACAGGTGATACGTACTAATATTACAGGTTTTACGATATTACCTTAATAATTAGCTATCGACTTTGCTGAATTAAATCAAACCATAAAATCGAAAACTATTGGGAAACAAAAAAAATGATTGCTTTGGAATATCTTCAGCTCAGTTATATCAGTTATGCATGATCTGAAAGCATTTACAATAAAATTTTTATTGAGCAGCACATTCAGGTTGTGGTATGATATCAGTCTCCCCAGGGTCGATGTCTTTTTTTGTCAAGATTTGTTAGACTATCAAGGTTCTGTTTGTTTTGATGACTTTTTATAAGTTTAGATATATATTTTACAGGTTTTGTGCTTTTGCATACAGCTAGTAAATATTAGTGGTTTTATACTCTAGGCTCACCACTTTTAATAATGGAATATGCTCCTTACGGGAATCTCAAAGAGTATCTACGTCGTCATCGGGAAATTTGGTTGAATTGTGACAATTTATCTTTGAAACTCTTAAATTTTGGATGTCAGGTTGCTAATGGTATGAAATATCTGGAATCAAAGTGTGTAAGTATAATTTGAGCTAAGAGAAAGATTCTGTTGTTCATATTAACATGCAGTTTGAAATTTAAACTATTATAGTTTCCTGTTTAAGCGCGCTTATTAGTTTATGATTGTCATAGCTTTTGTAATGAAAAAAGCTGTACAACTCGCCTGTGAAACGCATATGGAGAAATTCGAACACTTCACTTCCATCTGAAGTTTGTGCTGATGATGTCGTTCAGAAGAACGATGAAAGCTCCACGACCAAACCATCCAGCTCAGAGAACAAAACCCCATCAAAAAACAACTCGCCTATATTTATTTTGCAAAGGTCCATTTTTTTTAATTTCTAAGGCAATATTTTCCTAGTATTCACTTTTCCTAGATCGGCTCCTGGTAGACAAATATTCTTATATCAACCGGTGAGTTACGTTATAGGTTCATAGTTCAATGCCTTATAGAGTATCTGGTGATATGTTTCATTTGTAGTTATGTGTTCTATGTGAGTAATGAAATTGTTTGTCTAACTGTAAACTTTTAATGGCCCATTGATCTGACTCCAATATGAAAGGACGTATGAATATGATGTTGCGTCTTTATGGACCGCTAGTTATCACGCAATCTATTCGCCAATCAAAATTCGACTTATTCGCTCTTATACTGTACTAAACCAATGACGTCCGACCGGTCTAATCAGCCTAGCGTCCTATTGGTCCGTTGCTCGCCTAGCCCCGTCCAGCTGAGTCCAAAATGCCAACAACAGCCTCCACTATGCGAATCATTTATTTCAGACATACTGGGTTTGTATACCAAACAAACAGACCGCAACGCACCATAAAATAGAAAATAACATTCATACACAATAAAGCCGAAAAGTGGCTGTGAACGTGGGAGACAGTAATTAGTAAACTGAGTATAACTTAGGAACAGTAAATCGTACAATAATAATCTATTAGTCAAAATGAAGCTTATAATAAAGGGAATATAGATATATACAATCTAATTACTGAATAGTTATACCATAAGAATATATAGATAATATTAGTCCATTAATAGGTCTCAGATGTTACTCGTACTTTAATCTTTACTAGGATATAACATATGCCATCACTACATATCTTTCATTTAACTCTGTACATTACACTTAAGCTAACCCCGTTTTTGTGACGGGGGGTAATAAGCACTCAAATATGGGCTTAGTTGGATAGACTTATTTCAGGAACTCGTTCAATCATACAGACATTAAGAATGAGAGGTGGGAAAGAGAATCATACCGGTAAAGGAAATCGTGTCAACTCCATTTGATAATTCGTGACTCAGTATTTATAGCCAGACAAAAATAGGTTCTCGACATATGGTGAATAGCGAATACATAAGTTCTTATAAAAACAGTCTAGGCTATAAGCGAATGATTCACAAGGTCAAAATGTGACTCAAGAAGAATTAACAAATTGGTCTGTCCGGAAGCAAGAATACCTATGTGGACTTGATATATATTAATAGACACTACAAGCTAATGTTATTTACACTTAAATTCAATTAGGTTGTTACGATCGACCACTGAGTGGTCACCAATGTCACATTTGTCTAGTCCTTTTCAGTCCTGATCGAATTTTCTCGATCAATTTGCAGTGCGGTCACCAATCTGGGCGACTCGACATTGCGTGCACTGTGTTGAGATGGTAATTATTTGGAGGTCGTTGATAAAAAAGTCCTACTTAACGCGTGCTTTGCACGATTTGGGACTCATCAGAAGTGTGTACCAGCAATCTTGACGGAGCTAACTAATATTTTCAAGTGAACTGCAAAGTTGGATGATGGGATCAAACTCGCCAGGCAGCACCAGTTCCCTAATGATTATAAGCGTACCTTGGTGATGAGTGTCAAATAACACAAAAACCTGGGTCAATCAAAGTTTTCTGTCGACTTTTTCTAACCCCCTAATATTTTGATTTCATTATATTCATCGTTGTTTGTTTTTGTTTTTTATATCTAAAAAACAGCTTATTCATCGTGATTTAGCTGCTCGTAATATTTTGGTTGGTAAACATTGTCAATTAAAGATTGCTGACTTTGGACTTACAAGATTTGCTGAAAATTATTATCGTAAAGTGAAAAATGTGAGTATCCACCAACCAATGATCTTAAATTAATTGAGATCATGAGCCGACTAGTGTTAGACTATCATTGAGAACCTGGAGGCACTGGACTTCCGTTTCGTACTAGTATAGGACTCTTCAGCAATGCACATCCATGGTCTCTCGCGCCGCACTCGAACTCAGCACTTTCGGTCTCGCCCACAAATGCCTAACCTCCAGACCACTGACCTTGCATCCATTGGTGTTAATATGTAACTTCAACCAATCCATGCTATTGCTCGATCATCTTCTATTGTCTTCGGTGGATAAATGCCTCATATCCGACATGGTTGAACTCCACTGGTTATAACTAAAACTCAACAATCTCCACAACCCTTATCGAAGTTGATATTAACTTATACCACCCATAATGCTTAACGTTGATTCATATATACCGGTCAGAAATACCTCACCTACTTATATTGCATAGGTAGTGAGTTGTTAACTTCATAAAATAATCCCTTATTTTCTAATGAAGATTACATTTTTTCAACTATTTCGTGTGACCTAGTAAATATTTCTAACCAGACCAAATTAAATGTCCAGTACTCATTTGCTTCCATTGGTTCTTCAACTGTTGTCACCATATAACCGAAATTCTTGTAGTTTATATAACGAACTAGTCTCAAAAAAGCACTGAACAGCTCTTTTGTTCCCTGGTTTTCAGTGATTGTCCAACTTAGATCAGTCTCCGATATAAGCTCGGAAAAATCAACAATCTTGATAAAGCCCCCTATACTAATGAAATTATTGTCCTAATTACTTGTAATAAACTTCGTTTAGATTAATTTACGCGAGTCGGTCACACTACTCGTTAAAATAGTTTTAAAGTATTTTTTCATTCACTCGTTATCTGTTTTGCATGTCGGAATTAACCTGTCATCAAGGTTAACTGCACACATATAATTTGAAAAAAATGCTACCTTGTTGTAATGTGGTCAAAGTTTTGTGCTAGATAGTTTCAATGGAAATGTTTTTTTACTAAGAAAATTAAATTTATAATTGTGTCGAGGATATGCTACTTATATCGATTGGAATAGGTGAACACAAATGCTTTTCATATAATGGGAGAGGAGAGAGTTTAGTAAGTTTATTGTTCATCTGATCAAGATGATTGCATGAATGTTTGTGTACGCGTCAGTGTCAATTTATATAAATACGAAACGGTTGTTGACATTATCATTCAGCTTTAGCAATAAGAATAACTATCCAGTCAATCTCAGTCAACTCTTTCTGAGTAGTTGAGTTAGTAAAGAATTTGAGAGTATACGTTAAAAACTGAATTGGGATATAGAATGTAATAGGTTATAATGTAGAAAGTAAATTAATTTGTTATTTCAAAATTTAACACTTTTTTTGTTTACGATTTACTTTCAACAGGGTCGTGTTCCTTTAAAGTGGTTAGCTCCGGAATCTCTAGGTGATAAAATCTATACAATTAAGTCGGACGTGTAAGTCATCCAATAAAAACTTTCAAAATTAACTTATTTCTATATTTATATTAGTATTCGTTTACTTAATGAATTTGTTAGTCGAAACAATGATTTTAGCAAACAAAATTATTGGATTAGTAATGAGTATGGATAAGTGACTTGGTGATATCATTAACCTTGACACAAACAGTTATGAATCAAAATGTTGTATTCAGTTAATGGATCAAAGTACTACTTGTGCGTGAAGTTTGACAACTATATGGTACAACCTATTTCCACTAAACAAGTAAATAACAAACTAATTGTAACGGATTTACCTTGATATTAAATTTTTGAAAGGAATCATTAGAGGTAGGACATACCTGGTTTTATTAAGATCTTTGCCTCTTAGTCATTATGGCTTAATTTTGGTCATAATACAAAATAAATGTTTGCAAAACAAATTCATGCAGTTAGATCTAGAAAGCTAAATTACTTTATCTCAAGCTAATTGATATGTTGTTTTATTAACAAGAAGTGCATAAAAAACTGATGGATTAAAAGTTGAGTATATAAATGTGAGATCAGTCAACAGCATTATTTGTCTGACGAAAGAATCCTTAGAAGTATGTGGATCAATTCGTCGAACTATAATTATTCAAGTTCTGTATTTCTTCATGTTTGATTCCTTTCAATTTCACTAATGATGGATACATACCCAATGTCGAACGAAGTTATAAATATACCTTGACTGTATGAAAATTATACGTACATGGCGTTCGAGTTAATAAAACTAAAAAAACATTGAATATCAGGTATAAATAACGAATAAAAAATCCCCTTCGACATAGTCAAGCGAACATTGATTCCTAAAAAACAGGAAACATGGAAAAATATTGAGAGAAATAGCAGTTACTCATAAGTAATATAATTATATGAAATAGTATAAATATGACACACCGATTCACTTCAGTCTCTACAACTCAGTTATATTACTAGAACCCAGTTAAATTCTGTTGACAAACGGTTTAACTTAGATAACTTATTTATTAGGTTTTTGGTTATTAAAAATGATTAAATAGTGCTTGAATAAAACTCTGGTTTATATGAATGATACATTTTGTAAGGTTGAGATATAACGAGACTTACAGTTGAGTACAACTAAATAAACGAATTCAGTGCTTTATGAATAGCTTAGCGCTATCCTATGTGACTTGATACTCCTTAAAACTAATGGAAAGTGAGTATTTTCCATCATAAATACTGTTGTTTGAGCTACTACACTCAATGCGATACTGAGAAATTAGATATTTTGTGAAGTATTGCATATTGGCGTACTCGATTCTTATTATTTAATTCTCCAGATTAATTCCATATGACTAATATACTTAGCTGTTGCGTTTGCCCACGGTATAATAGTAAGTCACGACACTAAATAATCTTACACAAGATTTACTTGGACCAAGGCGAAGAGAGGAGTCAGACTAATTAGCTAGTGAAATGAATGTCAAGTATATTAATGTATGAGTCATTGTACATCTATATAAAAATGTCTTGAAGCAAAACTTAGCACCTAGAGCTAGTGGGACAAAGTTATCAGACAAAAATATATAGATGTTTTTATACGTATTTGTGTACACAGTTAAGCGTTCAAATGTACTTATTAGAGTGAATACAAGGTAACCAATAGTATTAAAACTTTACATTTGGTTTTTAGGCCTTTGTCTTTTATCTTTTTAACACCGCCACTATTCAGAAAGATGAGTGTATAGTGTATATGGATAACATATGTGACACCATGCATACTTTATGGGTGGTTTTCGTCACCTATTGACATCAGTTAGGAAATTATTATTATTTAAACACATAAACATTAGTACAAGAAGGCACCGAACATATGTGCGCCACACAAATGATTCAGTTTGCGTGGAATAATGCCCGGGCACCCAAACCGAAGCAGGTGGTTTTCTTAGGGGGCCACACCCCGAGCCCTTGACGTAAGGGTCTAATCCACAAGGCAATCGAACAACGTTAGGAGATGCAGTCCCATGGTAGCCGGTGATCAACAATAGGTTCATATGCCATTTGTTTCCTCAGGATCCTGGAGCCCACGGGCACCATTGCTTTGGAATCACAGTTTTCCAACTCCCCTAGGTGGAACCTCCGTCTCCACCAATTTAGTTAAAGCGCCGGACATTCGCTTTTCGTCCTTTCAGTTTCACAGATAACAACCCCACCACGATAAGTCAGTGTCAGTCATTCAGCTATAACTTAGGACCAGGCACATATACGCATGGATCCAAATTGCCATACTTCATTAGCACAACAAGATGAACACCAAATTCATAAAAGTGGTTACTTCAATGGTAGTAATATATCAAAGAAAAATTGTCTATGAAAATACAATACAGGAAGAAAGAATTCTTTGGTAGAAATAAAGGTATAAAATAATCTTAATTTCACGGTTTAAGGGAAGACAAAGAGTGTATACACCTAAGCCATTATGATCGATTCTGAGTCATGTCATCAAGAGTCTCCAACCATTAGTTACGATAGTCGCGCGAACCCCAACCAAGTAATCGGCATCTACCAACATGCCTCAGACTAGAAGTTAGTGACCTCAAGGACTGATGCCACGTTTTGATTTGGCCGCCCTTAACTTTCCTCCAGCCGTCCCCAACACTGGTCAGCATTGAGTGACGTGGTAGTTGGCGATCGGACATGCGTAACACGTGGCCCAACCATCTCAGTCGATGAAGATTTACAACCTCACCAAATGATTTAGCACTATCCGCCAATACCCTGCGTCTAACCTCACTATTACTTACCCGGTGATGCTGGCAATATTTCTAAAACATCTGTCATCAAATACTAGTAACTTACGAATATCCTCTATGCCTAATGGCCACGTTTCGCAGCCGTAAAGTAGAACAGAACGAACTGCCACACAGTATACTCGTCCTTTTATTGAAAGACGGATATCTGGCCTTCTCCGTAAATGTCGTAAGTTGGCAAAAGCCAAACGAGGTTCTTAAATCCTTGAACGACGAAAATGCAACGACATGTGTCCCTATCCTTTCAAGTTCTTACGGAACCGTTTAGCCGGACAGCACATAAGCGACTGTTAACGGGGATCTACTCTATTAGTGCTTGTTCCGCCCTCATGCTTAGTGCTATGCCTACACCTGCCAGTCCACGAGAGCAAGCCGTCGAGTCACCAGATAAACTGAGGGTGTATATTGTTAGCTCTCCGTTTTGCCGAGGTGAGGTCAAGTGAATGACCACACTAGGATTCTGTATGCGTGTTTCGGAGACACAGCATGCATCAATGGTACGAGATTGTAGGGTTTTAGCCAAGGAAGCCTGCTGACCAATTTAACATAGTGTGCGTACATTGAAGGCTCCAATGTGTAGTTTGTAGCGAGGTTTCAGTAGACCTGGGACAGTGTTTTGAGCACTAGAATCGTTGGCTATGGTGACACTTGAAGAGGAATTCAAAAGAGCAAGTTTAGAGTTGACAGTCGACGTAGGAGAAATAGTAGGGATTGAAGAGTGAGTTTGATTATAAATACAGTGATCTTGATTTCTGTCATAGGTATGAGGGCGGTTATCACTTCCAGGCTGCCCACACGTTGGAAGGGTTCTTCTGGAGGTACATGAAAATGAGATTGGATTAAAGGTGGTCATAGTGACCTGAGAGTGTGACCACAGTGCCCAAGGGACAACTGCTTGAGGTCGGTCACACACGGCCTTTTTGTGAGTAATTTTCGTGTTAGCTTTGTACTTGCTGAGACCTTACCGCCAGAGACAGATATCCGTGGGATAAGGTGAGGTGTGCATTTTCAGGGTCGACCTTTCCTAACCCCACCCCTCCTTGTGGGAAGGCGGCATCGCCGTTATGCTGGTTGTCTGAAGGAAACACCTTACTGCTGTCACACCTCTGTACAGTCAGCAGTACGACTTCACCTTCGGACCTCGGATTTGTTGCTTTTATTCTTAGTGCTCTTCAACCGACCTGTGTGGGATGGTAGGAACTTGAGGAACAATTGTTCCAGCCAATATGACCTGATTGGTTCATTACGATAGGCACGTTCGACCACCATGTTAAGGTAGCAGCAACGATCGGGCGAGAAGGCATCGAGTGGCTGTGTACGCGTGGCCATGTGAGAGCATTTTGAGAGGGAGAGCTGATTCTCCCCCCCTCTCGACCGTACCAAGGCATTTGGGGTCCCAGGATACAAAAGGTCGTTTTTTGTCTTATTTGGAAACTTTAACGGTATACACTAGTAATGCTATAAGGATTACATCCCAGGACATTTAGGTCCTGTGGTTAGTGCAATACTATCAAAATCCAGTAGTCTATATTTTGCAACCTTAATCAATTTGCGATCCTCATACACAGTAGCTGATAACCTCGACTTGGCTGAGCTTGTATTTTACATCTTCACATCATAACTTTGAAAATTACATTTAAAAGTCATTCGCAAACAGTTATATGAATATTATTTAGTTAGGAATTCTGTAGAGAATCTTACAGCTTTTCGGGTTTGCTTTTGTCACTAACCGACATCAGTTGGAGAGCTAATATGGACATACAGAGAACATTGAGTAATTGTTTCTCCATAGTCTAGAAATCAACAATAAGTTATGAAATCTATAATAAACCTCGGAACGTTAAATTATCAATGTAAAGTTTTCATGTGTACTTGATAAGGAAAGTTGACTGGAAGTGAAAATTCCTGAACATATATGAACTGATAGTTGGTTAAAACATATGCCACAAATTCACTATTTTGTCTGGGATAATAGGGTCACCAAATAGGTCGTCATAATTCAACGATACATCGTATGGTACATATCAGTTCTGAAAAATTAACTCAGTCCAAATGGACAATTATAAGTTTCCTTATGAAAATGATATAAATGTACAATTGATTAGAATGAATTAAAAGTAATTATGCATTATTATGCTACATACACTAAACATTTACAAACTTCTTTTTACTGGAATTGAAATTGTTTTATTGACCACTGTCATTTTTTTATAATTTACTTCCTCTTTTCTGTTCATTTCTTCTACCTGTGCCTAAATGTATAATTTTATGAATTGAATTGGTACATTTATTGTTGTAATGTACTTCTTTTTTCTCTCTATATTTATATATTTCTCTATTTATCTGTCTGTTATCGATCAGTCTAAAATTGTGCAATAGTATTTCATTTTATTATATGATCAAATAAAAGGAAATCAATAATTGAAAACTTTAATGAAACACCCTTCAAAGTTGATCCTAGTTGGTCGGCTGTATTGACTGTGTTATTTTCTTTCAGAAAAAGAAATATTGTGTTTACTTTCTATCCTAGTTCTTTTATCTATTCAAATTTGGTTTCCTTTTCTTTCTTTCCTGTTACATTATTTAACTGACACATAATTATTGTTAAATACTATATGAATTCCATTAGCTTATTGATCTCTTATATACAGAATGTATTATGTATGCACAGAGTTAAGAATGTCATTCTTAAAAGCTTATGATTTGTTAATAGTTGTAATTTGGACTTTTCTAAGTAATTTGTTTCTTCAACAACAACAAAATTCGTTATTGTTTATATTTTAGATGGGATTATGATTGACATAAATTGACATAAATAAATAACTATAGCGGTCTCTTTGAAGTTGATAGTACAGTAAATGGATCATATAAGAAGTTGTCGCGTAATTCTATATTGATAATTTAGTTTAATCATTGTATTGAAAATAGAAACTGGTCAAGTAAAAAGGAGATAACTGGATTTAATATAATTGAAAGTGATCGACAAGAAACTTTGAGATAGCAAATTCAAATCTTACAGGAAGCATTAACTTTCTGATGGTCTGAGATAAATCGTATTGACAAGTGTAAAATGACACGGAACCTAGATACATGACTTTCTTGCTGACCGTCTACCTTTAAAAAACTAAAATTTAAATAAAGCGTACTCTATTTCGACTTAAGTAGACTAGTGGTTACATTGAAATTTTGTCAACAGAATTTGATCAACACTAGGAACTAGACATACATGATATTGGCAAATATCCAATGATCAACCAGTATACATAAGTTATTTAAAGCTAAGAAGAAGTTGATCAAGTCGTTTTAACAAATTTTACTAAATAAGTTAGGATTTTTCTATAACTTGCGTTGAAATCATATCACGATTTCTATATGATTCACATTTCCAGTCAATAATTAATTGTACTTCACCATCACTCAATGTATTTTAGTAAACTAATCATAAATCACACATATTGTACCTACCTTGATTTAACCATTATTCATTATTGCTATATTTTAATAAGATAAGTTATCAGTCAGTCATAAACAAGTCGGATTAACAAAGGTAATTCACCTTTTAATATAATTCCATTATAGAAAGATATTTGTTATAAAGGAAAGTGATTTAAAATTGCAGTGATACGATATCATCGACTAATAAAACTATTCATGAGACCGATTCCAAATTCCATTCGAATAAACTGTTATCAAAAGAATAAATGACTAACCAATAGATAATATTATTATTCTACTAATATACCATTGCTTAAATACAGAATATCAATGACGAAGATAACCATAAGAGGTTATTTGATGAACTGTAGGGAACTGTGAAACATACAATTTTCATAGGTCACCGAATAACTGTCCAAACCAAATAATACCTCAAAATGGTGTTATTTTTTGTACTTCATTTCACAGTTCGTGAAACACAAGATTTTTTTGCTCTTAAAACTTAGACAAATTAATATAAGTTTTTTTCAAAATTTTCCTTTATTAGCTGGTCATTTGGTATACTATTGTGGGAGATATTCACCCTTGGCTCATCACCATATCCAAATATTAATGTAACAGGAATTATACATTCAATTCAATCAGGTGTACGTAATGAAAAACCATTATTAGCATCAAATACAATTTATCAAATTATGTGTAACTGTTGGCAGTTTGATCCAAAAGAACGATTATCATTTTCAGAATTAGTGAATTTATTAGAATTACAAATCAACGAACATGATGATCGTACTGAAATTAGTGAAACAACGTCAGGAATATCAACATATCATCATGATGATAATCATAATAATTATAACAGTGATTTATTAACAAATAATAATGATAAAAATAATAAATTAGATATGGACATTAGTATTACGACTAATGGATATGGTAGTTTTGATTTCTCTGACGATGATCAACAGAGTGATGAATATGTTCATCATCCTATTTTGTCAACAGCATTTACTTCAGTTTACTGTGAAATGAGAGCCTAATAGTTATAATGTACACTGTGGGGTTGGAAGTGAAGAAGCATGAAATGTAGAAGAAAATAAGTGTTATATATGTATACAATTGTGATTATCTGTTATAGCTACATTTTTTAAATGTCATCATTCTTGTGTTTATTATTATTATCATCAGTGTTTCCGATCATTAAATAAAAGCCATTTTTCTCAAATTACATGTTTTTCCCCACGCTTAATAGCATTTCACGTAGAAATTCCTTGTCAGATTGGTCGAATAGACAATCTGTGCTATTCGAAATAAGTTTATTAAATATGTTAGGTAAAAAAGTATGATTTTAAAATTGATTTCATTATCCAGCGCCGTACATGTTCTATCATATCATTTTCCCTATCTTGACAATTCGCAGATCTATGGTTTACGTTAGTTCACCAACGTATTAGGTTTTTTCTAATAGAGCAGTGGCTTGATGGCTAAGGCGTTCAACTTTCCACCACCAAGTCTGTGATTCGAAACCTGTTACAACAGCATTGGTTTGGGCAACCGGATAGAATCATTGGCCCCCATGCCTAGAATTTGTCTCGTATCAGGTGTTTGATGAATAAGTTATTTTGATTTCATTAAAAATTTAGCTATCATGCAACAGATTGCAAAAATGTTTTGTGATTACAGAATTGCAGCCGCACCTTCGTGTATTTATTACTCCAAATAATGAAGTTGTGCAAATAGCTTCCTAAATTTCTTTAGTTCAATATTCATCTGTAGCACAGTATTTAGGAGTTGATGCAAACATTATATGCCCGTTTTAGAATATGGATTGCTTTGTTTTAATTTGCCTACCTCTATCAACATCTCTTTTTATCTCACATAGGTAAAACTGATGATTTAGTAGTAATGGAAATGTGGCCTTTCCAAGTTGTAGCTTCCTAATCTCCAACCTCATCATTAGCCTTCATGTATCTTCAATAGTTGATTCGAAGGTCTTCTGTATCGTTGAATTGGTTATCGTGAACATTAGTTACTTGTTCATCTTTTGTCAGTTAATTCGAATGGACTAAATTCTTGGATCTTAAGCTTTTACCATCATAACAGTTATTTAATAATCTACTTACATAAACTTCCTTGAAAATATTTTGCAATCGATTCATTTAACATTGATTCCTTTCGTTGTAATAACGTTGTACTGTACTGGTTGTATTCGAAAAAACTTATTGAGAACATATTATTTTATTGACTTATCATGTATGCAATGTGTTCTTGAATTGGTTCTCATTAGATCTAAAATAACAGAAATTCACCTTTATTAATGGTTTTGTGAAATATACGAAACTATTACTACTTCTACTGATTAACATGATTAAAGTTAAGTTTTGGCGCCAGTTTAAAAAAATTCGCACTACAAACAATGAATTAATTATCTGTTTATAATATAGTATTGAGTAGAGCGATTATTATCACAAAGCAATTTTTCAAATTTTAAGCAGAGATGGTGGTGGCTAGTAGTGGAATCCAGGACGAGTGTTCCATCCAGTTTGGGACTCGTCAGACGGATGTACCTGCATCCCAGATTCGATGTACGCCTCGGGACTCGAACCCAATACCATTCCCTCCAAATACCATCGCGTTATGCACTTAGCCGCTGAGTCCTGGTAGCCACTAGCTTGTGCAATGAGGTGAAGTTTAATTCATTTTTGTATCGGTTGTTTGAATCTTCCCATTGATGTTTAGGACTGCAATTAATACAGGTACATCCAGCTGATGGGTCCCAAGTGGGACGGAACCCTCGTCCTGGATTCCACTGCTAGCCACCATTATCTCCATTTATAATGCTTGTGACTTAAGGCAATATTGAGGTGATCCTCACAGGATGCACATATATCAGTAAGAGACTAACCAATTTTAGTCCTAAACGTCAACAGAAGATTCAAATAATCAATACGAAATGAATTTCTTTCAAATGGTTTGCGTCATTGAAATTTAAAACCAAATTGTAAACCACTGGAGTCAGATTTTTAGTCAATGAACTATTTATTCTTCGATCTACCTCCTTTATTATCAGTGTTCAGTTTTCAGTTTTAGAAAAAAATCATGTATTTGTACTTGTATTTTAGAAAATGTTCTTTTGTGAACAGTGATGATAATATTTGCTAAAGCATATAAACAACTGAAAAGTTTGCCAATTATTTTCCATATGACCGTCTCTTAATGTATGTTGATTTAACCTTACAGATTCTTGATTTCTCCATGTGATATATGTCACACATCTATGTGTATACACATAGGTATTGAAATACATCTCTCTTTAATGTACTACTAATAATACAAATAATCTATTAACTGTTGAATTCACTTCATAAACTTATACATTATAAAAGATATTCCGTTTTCAGAGAAAAGAATAATTGGTTCAGATATAACATAACATTTCAGTGTAAATAAGGTGTTAATTATTTCATGATGAAATAATGTGAATATATGAAGATTATTTCTTATTATAATGTGTGACAAATATAGGAAGATTAATTCATTTTGCTAAATTTCTATGTGTACACATGACTACAACAAAATTAAAAAAAGGTCATTTTTGGTAAATAATAATAATAATTTATAGTTGACTTTTCCATTAATTTACTTAAAAAAAAAATTAATAGTGTTTTATGTATTTAAGGAAATTGGAATCTCAGATCTATCTAATTGCACTCTATTAACTACGAGTTGATCAGTACATGAAAACTGGAAAAGACCATGAACACATATGATAGTCGGATATATGAATAGAGAGTTTAATTATGTACAAAGCATTTTTCATTTCACATACAAGTCAGAATAATTCTTTATCATTTTGTGAGAAAAATCAGTTCGATTACGTAAAATGATATTGATTGACGGACTAAATTGATACTTGAAGCTAGAAAGCTTTAGATATGGGAATGTAAGATCTGGTTTGTAGTTGAGTTTCTTACTTCAGTCTATAGAACACTGGGTCACTTGTTGTTGGAGTGACCCAGAAAATTCCTCGCAAAAAGCCACAAGGCTTCCTGAAAACACTGGGAAACATTTTATTCAATCAGCGTTGAATAGGAGTATCTCGGAAATATTTAGGATGTGAAGAGTCACGCGTCACATTTCTGATTGGATGGTTACCCATCCTGTTACTATGCTTAGTAAGGTTCCAGAACTCTTCAAAAGCCCAAGGCTACGTGAAGTGCTATAAATACCTTAAATTTACTGTACATAAACTAACTGTGAAGTGAAGCATTCTTTCCATATTTCGCACCTTTTGTCTCGTGTAGCATTAGTCTGGTGCTATTAGAAGAGGTTGGGAAACCGATCCAAGCGTTCAGTTAGATGACTCACCACTTGCATTATGGTTAATTTTTTAAAATCTTAACATGATCCATTTTAATTTTCATTCAGAATTATTACAAGTGGATAGAAATAAATACGACCATGTGAATGACATTTGATTATTTTCATTATTTCTGTAGATTTATTTGTACATAAATTTGGTCAGTAATCCATAATAACAATGGGACATGCTTATTTGGTTTATTGTTTTACTTATTAATTACATCTCAGAATAAAAAATCAACTTAGTTAAATTTCTTGTTGTAATTAACTACCATTAATTGTTGACCATTTGTCGATACATCGTTTGAATTGAAAATATATTTAACAGTTGTTTTACTTAAAAGACTTTTAATACCTTTAACCTTTAATTCTTTGTCTCACAAGAAAGTCTACTTCTTTGACAAATTATCTATGTTATTTTCCATGGTGGTCTATTTTCAACAGACTCATGATCTCAACTTTTGAAATTACTACAATCTCCACAAAACCCCTTCTGATACTAATCGACATATGCTCACTAGTGACTGGCTTCCAGAGTTATATCCTGGAGTTCTAGTGAGAAGCAGTGACCAGTGGAGTTCAACCGAGTCAGTTGTGAGATAGTAACTCATTGATGACAATATTGGATGTGTCTCTCAATTTCGTAGACTAGTTGAAGTTAGACATTAACACCGTTGGATGCCGACTCCGTGGTCTAGTTGGTCAAGCGCCTGGCGCGAGACTGATACGTCCCGGGTTCGAATCCCGCGAGGCGGGGTCGTGAATGCGCACTTCTGGGGAGTCCCACGATAGGACGAAACGGTCGTCCAGTGCTCTCAGGTTTCCAATGGTGGTTTAGCTTCAACTGACTCATGATCTTAACTGTTGAAATTACTATAATTTCCACATAGCCCCTTCTGATTATATGAATTAGCTGAAACCTCAAAATTTGTTACTTTTATGGAAACAGTTTTAGGTGGAAGACATCCCAAATATAGATCTTGTGTAAATAATTCAAGGATACTAAAATTACGAGAATAATCAAGATGATAAAACTGATGTCGGTTTACTTACAATAAAAAATAGAAAGAGAGTACTAAATATCTTCAACCATTGTCACAAGTGTTCTATTCAAAATGAGTAAAATAACAAATTTCTAAGAAGTAATTGATTGTATTTAGAATTTTCATACCATTTATTTATTGTAATGGTGATGAAAGAATATATTGTTCATAATCATGGTGAAAGATATGTAAAAGGTAGGATGGAATGTATTAGTTGTATTTATATACAAAGTAAATTCATGAGGAATTTAGAGAAACAATTTATTTGATTTAATAGTCAGTTCTAACCAAGTTATGATCCAGCTTTCCTATCCTCCAACTTAGATTTAGCTCAACTTTGATTCGATCTGTCTTAATTTGTTTGATGGCTACAAATCGATGAATTATTGTGATTTCATTATGTAAGTGAAGTTGTTCTATCTAGTATCTATAATGCAATCTGATTCATTGCTCTTTTTAACTATCAGTCTATCCAGGTTTCACTTATTCAAATACTTATCCCATATTGTTTTGTATTTTAATAGATAATTTATTACTTAACAGAAGTAACTCATGGTGTTATTGAAAAAAATTTAAGACAATTTAGCTAAGAGAATCTTCTTTTCGATAATATCATTCACCGAAGCTGTACACGCATATTAGCCTCACAAAAACGAGAATTTTCGAAACACATCTCCGAACACTATCCTGAGTGACTCTTGAAAGATCTATGTGAAACAATCAACAGTTCAATATGAGAACATCTTGTAGACTTTAGTCACATGGCTCCACCTGATAGTTACTTCAAAATCATCTATACAGTCGAAAGATTCAGTTTTAGGGGAGCATTTATGAATAACATGTGCATTTATCTTTTCAAACTTAAGCTCTATGTACAGAAGCGATAAGTGCAAGATATCATTGTTCCATGATTCAAACACCTAATTTTTATGAATGGTAATTTGGCTGTTAATGCATTCTAGTGTTTCTTAATCTTCTCATATCGAATTATTCGTTGTCTCTTTCACGTTTTGAACTTACCCTTCATCCTTTGCAACAATATGATTTTCAAATCACATTTGACTACGATAAATTTTTGTATAAATTGTTATGAAAACAGTTAACAGTTAAATCTATCAAGTTTTTTGAATCATCGGTTTGTACTTTTACATTCGTTCTTTATGATATCTAAATAGTCTATTTAGTACGTTGTATTTTGTGTACATATGTTACACTATACATTCATATTTTGATTTTTTTTCTTTTCAGGCGTTTATTGTTTGACCTAGTTTTCTTTTTTTTGTTGCTTATTCCTTCATACTGATAAACACATCGTTTTATTCTTTTAGAACCTCTGAACTAGAAAAAAATGGTTGAATTCATGGGCGGAAAGTTTGTACAATTTGAATATTCTCAAAGAGGTTATCGATAAGCTTGACTTCTGTTGTCGTTACATTAATGATACTTTCATTGTCATCAATCAGAACATTGGAAAAGAAGAACTCGTAGAGTTATTTAACAATAAACATACAGCAGTCGAATTTGCGTGTGAAGAGGAACTTGATAATAAACTACATTTCCTTGACGTTTTGTTAAACAGAAAAGAAAGTGTAGGTATCATTACCAAGGTTTGACTTAATAATTTCGAATAAATTGAGCACTGGGTAGATTTTTATAAATAAATTGATATATTTGTAATATCCCAGTGAATAGAAAGATTAAATTTGCTGACGTTTGGATTCAATTAAATTTTGATTTGGTTATTTATTCTCTGAAGAAGTGGTTTACATTGAGTCAAGGAAAGAAAATGGTTCTATAAGTAGAAGTGTGTACAGTGAAAGTTCTTCAATGAGCCGGTACACCCATTTCTTAAACTTTGTACCCATTCGTTATTGGAGAAACCTAGTTAGATGTCTTGCAAAAAGAGCTAGGAAGATGTGCTCAGACGATATTATAAACAAGGAACTAGAGCTTGTACATAATATGTTGGCTGGAATGGGTTTTCCACAAGGTTGTTTGAAGAAACAGGTGAATGTAACAAAGAGGAAAATAGCGACATCAACGGCTCGTAGTAAACCCCTCTTCCTGAAGCTGCAATTCAAAGGAGGTGTAGCTGGTGATGTGCTACGGGATAAACTTACTAGAGTAGTTAAGAGAACGTTTAATGCAACTAACCTCTGTCTATCGTTCTCGACCTGATCTATGGTGATTCCTCAACTAAAGGATAAGTTACATGGCCCTGTCACATTTATGTGTATCTACGAATTTATCTGCTCCTGTGGAGAAAGCTATATTGGGAGCACAACCAGACAACTGAGCCAACGAGTTAGTGAACATCTCCCTTCGTGGTAAGGGAAGGATACCGTCAGAACAGTACGCAGCTCCGTTCTATCACACTTGGTCGATAGCAGTCATGTAGACGACAGAAATAGATCATTTAAAGTTATTTATCGAATTTTTACTAGTTTTCCTTATGCGGTTCGAACGCGTCTCTTACAAATAACAGAAGCTATAAGAATGCAAGCTAACAATTCAAGTCATTGTATTCATAGGAAATTTGTAACACCTTTTTCTCTTCCTTGGCCCTAATAAATGATTTTATTTATTATTATTTTCCATACTCTGTTAACTCCGCCTGGAGTCCCTCCGGGGGTTACTACCGCTCCCGAGCCCGGATAAAGGAGGAGGGTTTGTCATGGGTTTAGCGACCCTATCCCGCAGAAAATTAACTAGCTAAAAAACGCTAACCAGAAAAATACTCATTGTTCGTTTATTTTTTCCGCTCCCTCCCACCTACTTTTCTCCAAAATATAAGCTTCATTGTCCAATTATCCGAGCATTTCTTATTACATGATCTTATAGTTTTTATGAATGTTAATCTCAGCATCTATATTTTTCAAATCATTGACCTAGTTCCCACTATGAAACACGGTACAAGCCTTTATTATTCTTATCACAACCAGTATACCTGTCATCACACTATCAATTTGTACTCTTTAATTATTATGTTTATTTATGTAATCTATTCCACTGTTATCACTGAATCATAAACTACCTTGATTGATTTCGTATATGCATATAAATATTACCCTAAATTAGAGTAAAGCCTGATGAGGATATAATCAAAAACAATATTGTTCGCTTATATATTCTATTCGTTGATTGTTTGTAGATATTTTCTACACAAGACTGTTGACTATGGTTGGTTTATAAACTCATCGGTTGTGATAAATTTGATGATGATCATAAAAGAGTTCTTGTTCTGATATCTATTCAACATAGTAAGCAGGAGAACATCAATAGGATAATTTGCTTAGTAAATATTTTGTGTTTTCATGTAAACTTCACATATTCATTAGCTAAAAGACTCAATTAAAGAACTTAAAAGAATGGTAGTCACATCATAATTGAACTTCTATAGGAGAATGGAAGGTGTTTATAAATTAGATCCTGTTATGAAAATGAATGCACTGTTAAGGTCGTAAGTATTTCTTTTTGAAGTTGCTTCAGTTTATTACTATTTTAGTTAATTACTGGCCTGTTTTTGATTCAGTAGTTTTAGATTCATGGAAATCTGGAAACCGGTTAGGAGGTTAGTGTTTCAAGCGTACAGTGTATGGAACATAATAAACTTATGTAATCATGTTGTATCATTTTAATGACATTTTAAAGATTCCAAAATTCACATCTCATAAAAATAACTTACTGAGACAAGGGATACTGATAAACTAATTAGTAATTTGGACCGAATTTGACTCCTACAGAATGTGTTGTTAGATGGTCAACAGACTAATGTTTTGCTTTACATTACCAAACGAATTTTACTTTATTGTTATTATCAACTTATTACCAGATACAAATTCACGTACTTGGCCTTGAATACTACCAAACCGCCTAAAGTTTCATGTCAAATAGTTTGAATGATCATAACAAATGATGATGTTTAAACTGTACTACAGTGCAGTACTTTATCATTTGAAAAAAGCTGATAAGAACTGTTTTGTACAACTTAAATCACCAAAACGAAAGGTTACTAAAGATTTGAAATTTTAAAATAATCAGACAGTTTTTGTTCATTCAAGATCAAAGACTGGATATATGCAATTAGGTGTAAAAATTGCAGTAACTTTTAAGTTTGAATTGTGATCTATCTAGAACACTTCAACCCCAGAAATAATGTCGTTTTCTTCTCCGGAACACGATAAACATCCAAACAATTGATAAGACTTTAAGAAAAAGTAAAGTTTGTCACTTGTAGTTTTCGATCTGAAATTCATATTTCATAAAACTTTCCATTACATATAGAGATAATAACTATGTCTGACTGACATCTGTTTATCTCCTAACAAAAGTATACTATGCTTGTAGAGATTTTATGTACTTTGAATTCAGTTTTCATCACGAACATACATTAGTTGTAGAGCTTTTAAAAAGCTAGGAACACTAGACAACTCTCTCATTCACGTCTACATCTCAGAAATAAACATCCAAAACGCCACACGGAGTCAAATACATGATCTTTAGGTCAGCACTATATGATTAAAATAATGGTTTCAAACCGAAGAGTTTATGTTTTCTAACGTGAGCTCATAGACGTATATTACTGAGAAACCCAGAATTCTCAGATATTCACTGGTTCTCTAACGAATGAAAATTACTTTCGAATAAAAGAATGTACTCAACCAGTTGATGTTACGAATTGATGAAATCGTGTTAGTGATACAATGACAATTTAGACTTTAGTGATTGAGTTGAAATTTAGTAGATATTAGCAACTTGATTGTTTATTTAGAAAGTAGTACATGACACAGATAACATTTAGGCCGATCATCCGAATCTGACTGCATTTCAGGCATTTCTTGGATTTTCGTAATCAATGACAAGAAAATATCTAATTTTATTAAAATAAATGATATCCTAGATAACTGAATACTACTTATTTACTGATACTATAAAAATGAAACGAAATCATGACAAATTGTTTTACTTTTACTAAAAATATTCAAAATGCATACTAAAAATACTAATCATGTTATTTCTATATGAAAGGTAAGCTAATCTGAAACTTATTTTATAAATTTCACACAAAAGTTGGATAATTGGGTTGAAACGATGGACAGTCATCAATATATCAGTGTTTGTGCAAAAATATAAGGGTCAATTTTCTAAATTTTCTCAAGAAAAACTAAAGGATTCAACCATTTCAAAGGACAGTACACAAATATATGCTGATTTTCCTGACTAGCGTGATATAACAACCATCTAATTCCATTTTCAATACAATTAAAATACTTCTGGGAAAACCAACATTGAACGGTAGATAACGCAGGTCACCGTCATTCAATTCTTTAAAATTATTAAGATTATTTATTCAACCAAATAGTGCGACTGCATTCGCATGTATGAGACAGAAAGGTTTTTGATTTCTAGTATGAAATGGTTTACCTTCAAGGGGTTTTTGACATGCAGCACAACTAAAACATCTTGCATGATATTGTTTTCCACAAGCTTGAATAAAACGGTCGATCTCTGAAATGGATTGTTTACACTTCGCACATTCGATCTCATGAAATTGTTTCCAATGTTCTTCACATAATACACGATTATCATCTTCTACATGAAATATATCATCTAATGGTTTTTGACAGTAATAACAAATGAAACAATATGGATGCCATGTTCGATTTATTGCTTTGATAATATGACCAATAATTGGTAAATTACACTTGGTGCATTTATAAGCAATATATTGTTTAAAATCTTCTTCACAGTATAATTTTCCATTCTGTTCAGCAAAACCATCTTCGTTTAGTGGTCGATGACAATAATCACATATGAAATGATTTGGACAAAAGCATCTGTCATTCGTATCGATAAATGGTCCGTGTATTTGTTGTTGACATACATGACATATAGGATTAATTTTAAAATCTTTTGAACGTATCACTCCTTTTAGTAAAGAATTATCTGGTTTTGCGTTAATTTTGATATTAGGCTGTGGTTGATTCATCGTACTATATTTACACAGATTATATGATGATGAATAACATGACTTTAAACTTATATTATTTTGTGGTGTGTAAATTGGTGATGTACGATTTGAATCTAGTTTTTCAGCCAATATCCGATTATGTAGTGTAGTTGAGTTTGGACTGTATGATCTTATTGTTATTCCATTAGGTGAATGAGAACGAGTTATTATTGGATTTGTACCAATATGAACAAGTTTAGATATAACTGTTTGCGGTTTTAGTGGTTCTGTTGGTTTATGAAGTTCAATACTTAGTGATGATTGTGTTATAGACATGTTCATTTGATGAAGTGGTGTAGAATAGCCAGAATTATTTAAACCAGTATCATAGACCTCCATTTCCAGATCATTGCAGCAACGTATAATTGCTTGAATAGCTTGTTGGTGAGTCATTTTGCTAGTAGGATCACCGCCAATAGATAAAACGCGCATTCCAGTACGTAAGCCACTGATATCTGCCAGACTTCCAAGACTCACAGAAGATATAATAAGTGGTTGATCAAAATCTCTTCCCCCTCGAATACAGAATCCCCAAGGTGAAGCAGAATCAGGTCTTGAAATGCGTATAAAAAATGACATTATATTAACAAAATCTAAAAATAGTTAAAGCTGACAATAATTAATATTGTGAAAAAATTCCCGGTTTTTCTTCTTTTTATATTGCCAAACTCAGATGATGAAGTGTGGGTGTGTGTATGTTTCTATTATCCTTTTCCACAAGGTCATTTGTATGTGGACCAAATTTCTGGCTGCCAATCACCTTAAATGGTGACAGTTTCAGTTTCTGTGATTGGTTTAGATATAGTTATCGGCACATACTTTGAAGTGAATTTCACTTAATAATACTACGCTATACTTCTTCCTAAATTCAGTTACTTTCTTCAAATTTCATCATTTGATGAGTATGAAATAAACAATCATGAAAAAGTGAAACTTAACACATTTGATCACAACTGTTGGAAAACACGAAAAGCGGTGGTAGGTATGAACACTAGTTGAGAGCAGTTACAAAGTATTTACATAATAGATATACATGGCCTTTAATCGTCCATTTGAATCTTCCAGTGTGTTTCGCAATCTGAACCGTCTTCTCGATTGGCCTCCAGGTGTTCTACCAATGCTGTGCTTTTGATACACTGAAACTGTTGCAATTTCATATCCGCGTTCCGCTACATAATACTTATAAATATCCACTGCATTGTTTGAAATTTACAATTATTTAAAATCCATAAAACATGGTTATATAGGTAAAACTACCAACAAACCTAATTATAGTTTCATTCAGTGATCTACAAAGAAAATCATATTGGAATAGCTTGAAAATTTATTCAAATATGACAAATCATACTATGGAGGTCTGGAAAAATGGTAAGCATTAAACTATCTCTTTGAACAATAGTAGTGTTAAAATTATTCTTTCCAATTTATATATAGAATCTAGAACAGAGTTGACTCAAAAGGTGAAGTCATCAACTACTTTTTTAATTTGTATCACAGACACTAAGATAATTTAAATCTCATTTTAAAATCTCGCATACTTTCAAGTATTAAAAACGTTAAACAGCTTCATCTGGCTTCTTTAGAGATATTCCTTGCTGTATTTTCAGGTATTCTCGAAAGGACTCAAAGTTCTGTATAGCACGCATACCAAACTTACAGCATCACAACTTTTTGAGATTAATTCTAGACTGTGAAGTCATATGACGCGATAAGTTGATGATATGTAAGTCAAAACGTTTTGCATCAGTTCAATATAAACATTTTCTAGAATTAAAAGTGTGAACTTTTGATATGACGGGATGAAAAAGTAAATTACGTTTCTAACTCATTATTATTCTGGCTCAACATTACTTCCAAATTTAATTCACTATGGTGATTATTCAGTGTAACACTTGTTTTATTTTCAGTGTGATATTTTATTTAATATAACTTTGATTTGTTTCAGTGTGGTGTTTGTTTAAGATATGATATTCTTTGTATTAAATTGATATGAATTATGTTCAGCATGATATGCAGCATGCGGTTTGTCATAATTCTGGGCTTTATTATGGTATGTAACTTTTCCCTAATTAATAATCAAGTGGATGTACAAATCTATATATAGATGAGTGTATTTTATACTGAGGTCATCGTAGTGTTTTTTGGGTGGATAGGTGTGGTGTTTGAATGAACTAGTGATTCCTTTGTACTTGTTGAATGCTTGATTTTGAGTTCCGAATATAGTACATTCATTCGTGCTTATCTAGTACTTCTTGATCCAATTACGTTATTTCTGGGATTCTTAGTTCGTACTATAATTCAAATACTTCTAATCATCATAACAGGTCTTCGTTAGTACTAGTCTTCCGTGTTCTTACTTTGGGTCGTGAGAATTGTAATTGTTGTTTGTTTCAAGAATAAGTAATAAGCGACACGGATGTAACTTTCACTTATTGACAATTACAATCCTGTTATCAATTCAGGCGAACTGTATTCAGTATGCGTTTTTACAGCAACACTACATATGTGTTATTATAAAGTATGTGTAAAAATCAGTGTGTGAATGGTTGTATTTTGGTCTCATGATAGTGTGACTTTAAGAGTTTTGTTTTCGGTAAGGCGATGAATCTTGAATGCACAAGTCTTTCATGTTCTGACTTTGAATTGTGGGAATTCCAGCGATTCCCGTTTCAAAGTATAAGCAGTAAGAATGCCAATATAACAGTGCGGCACATGATACATAAGAGAAGGCTCCTCGACTTCATAATGGGGGCCGCACAGTTTGACAGTGGTGATGATCCCAGATAAGACAGGGTCGACTAATACACTTCAGGAAAACTGAGAGCTCCTCATGGTCCGCTTAATTTCTACAGCCCGGAGGTGAAGGTGTGGCAGAAATTACATGCACTGTCATGTGGGACTTCCGAAACGCTTCTGTCAAAATGAACAACAACTTGCTTATTAGTAATATTGAATGCCCTTCGGTATAGTTTATCATGTCCCGCTACTATAAAATGATTCAAGTGCTTTTAAGTTAAAGAGATCTACTGGTGTTCCAAGCTTAAACTTGTTCAAATGAAGTGTTAGTTCTTGATACTGAGCTTTCCGATGCCTTTCAGTTATGATTTCAACATGTTAAGCTCGGCTTGCTTGTTTACTAACTATTTAATACCCAAGAAAGTCACAAAACAAAAGGTTATTGGGCGGTAGGTACATATTTCTTGCATTCATCAAGGACTTATGCTCTAAAATTACATTAATCAATATCGAATATCTTTATAATTAGCCGGTGTTAGTCATATTATTTCTTTTCACTAACTCCTTGTTTTGCTTCCAGGTCTTCAGTAAAATCCTATGGGATAGCCTAACCTTTGGACTGCACTAGTTATAGTCAACTCGATAGTTATTTGTCGGTTTGTGTATCTTTTTAGATGAAGGCAGGAATGAGTCACTCCGCTAAGTTTAATTACAAACTATCAGACAAGCTATTAACAATGGATTTCTGAAGTTAGACCTTTTACTATCACAGACGCACAGAATTCAATGATAATCTTATATCATCTATATGTTAGGATAGCCGTTTTAAAAAACTCTTTAACATATTGCATTACCTAGCATTTCGGATATTTTCCCTTTGATTTATTGGGTAAGTGTCGGGTATAAAGGCATGAAATCCATTCTTAATTTCGATAAACGTACATCTTTAAATACGATGCTGAAGTGCATCACATCCTATCATCTACAGCATGATTTTAGGAAAGAAGTCAATGTAAGGTCCATTAAAACATTAGTAACAGAAAGTAGCGTTTGGAACTAGACTGCATCATGTATTATGACGCTAGCAACCTCGTTTCTGTTAGGCAACGGAATAAAGCTCTGAACACTTATTAGTTACAACGGGACCCCACGAGTACTTTGCTAATGACGCTGAGATAACCTGATGATTATAGTGGTTGAGGTATTTCTTTGAATCCCTGGTGTTATATCTCTTTTCTTTATGTATTGTAAGAAGGTTGTCGTGGTAAGACTTATTTACTATCATTACTGCGTCAATGAATAATTCTTAGGTTATCCAGGACATACTAAGATTCTTGGGGTTCTGAACGCAACTCAGGTCAATAGTTAACACTTAGTTGTGGTCGTTGAAACAGAACAGATGACTAGACTTAATATAGTAGCTTTTCATTTGATAACAATAAGCAAACATTCTACTAGTACTGTTCAGTATCAGTGTAAGGAAACAGTGCTACAATAGACTGACTCGCTACAGTGAAAGAGAATTCTAGTACGTGTTTATTTGTAAGAAAAGCTCTTATTTATCCATTTTAGTTGTACTACATTTCTTTGTTTATCTTTGTGCGTAATATATATATTTTTGACCCTTTATTTACCTATATTACGTCAGTATTTTGTTTAGAGCTGTTGTGATATTTTGAAGTGTTTGAACTATAATATAAACCAGGAATCTGTGGTGTTTGAACGAACTAATAATACCCTTGTACTTGTTGAGTGCTCGATTTCGAATTCCAAATACAATACATTCGTTTGTGCTTGTGTCTTACTTCTTAATTCAATTGCGTTATTTCTGGTACTCTTAGTTCGTGCTATAATTCAAATAATTCAAAACATTATACTGGCGTCGCGATGGAGCCTGTAATGGAAAAGTTAGATATTCATTCAACTTCGGAAGCTTTTGAAGATTACTTTGAAAGGTTCGAAATCTGGGCTATGACCAAGGAAGATGATGAGGATGGTAATATTGTGGCACACTTCCTCACATTCATTGGAAAAGAAGCATACAGCTTATTAAGAACACAGGCTATGCCGGAAAAGCCCATTTCATTTCCTTATACAGCTCTCAAGGAACTGCTGCTAAATTATGTTCAGTATACAAATTTCGAATGTCGTAAAGGAGGAAGATTTCGTAAAATGATTCATGAGGATATAAAAAATTCCACTACATTACGTCATCCCAACCCAGTTCATACTCAAGATTATGCAGACTATTCATTGAGGAGTTGCAATGCATTTCACGAAGATGGGCACAAGTTTAGTCAATGTTTGTCCTGTGGCAAGTTCCACTCTTTTAATTCATGTAAATTTCGTAATTCTAAGTGCTTTAAATGTGGTGATATTAGACATATTCAGTCAGTCTTTAATACTAATGTTCATCTTATTGCAACTAATATTAAGACTTGTAATTCTGATTCTACTGAGTCGAGTATTTATAATGATGATTTATCTTTATCAACGATTGCAATAGACAATGTAGAGTCACAAAGTAGTTCAGAGTTAAATTAAATCCAGAATTCTTGCGAAACAACAGTTTCTAACCAATCGGCTTATCAGAATTCTCCTGCTATTGTGCCAGGTATGGCTTTTCCTAATGATTCATATATTTCTGATGAAATTTCTTACAAATCTGAAGAAAATATGTTCAGTGAACATAATTATGATCGAAAACCTGATGTAGTTTTGATGGATGCTGATTTTTCTAATGATCCGTTACTGTGCAATGACATTCTTAATAAATTCCATGAAAATGTGTCAGAAGAATCAAATTCTGATGTCAAATCATATATTACCTATCTTCATAATGCATTTGATCTTTGTGAAATACTTGTTCAATGCAAAGCACAAGTACTAAATGACCTCGATTTTGATTACAATTCGGATGTTTTCACATCAACTGCTGTTTACCCTTATCACAAAAACAGTTCTAATGTTTACTCTAAACAATGTGAGAAATATGTTTTAAATGAAGCCACATTATTCATACCTTGGGGATATAAAG